GTTTGAAGTCATTGTCACGCCTGTGTTTAGGTTCAACTATTAATCGAAAGTTCGTGGTTCAATAATTTTGGAAATAATAAACAGATACGTGAACGTTCAATGACTTCGAACCAATATGATTTTCAGAAGAATTTTTGGAATTTGACTCAGAATATCTTATCATTTGTGAGCTTTCAACGAATACCAACCTCCTGTCCCTATCCTCCCTAGGAACGCACGATGTTCTTTTAACATTATAGGGAAAATTTTGTTCCAACCTCTAATTTCTCAATGTATATGTCCATGATGGCTCCTTTACGTTTTACATATGAAACAGATTTATTTTCATCATTCAAAATTTTCAATTCATGATATACTGAATTCTGAATGCATTACCTAATTCACAAACACATTGCTTGCAATGATTGTTGACGCCAGCGCATTCGTTGTGGCATGCACGGGAATGCAATCGGGGAGGGGGGATCCATCATAGACAGATGAACGTATTGATAGGAAGTTTCAATCAAATAACATTCGATCTGTTTATACTAGAATCAATTTGATAACAAAAACTGATTCACAATGTGCATTTATACCGTACACATCTTCTACAGCTGTCATTTGCACTTCTCTATGAGAATGAAGTACAAAAAATGATGAAAGTTTAGATCAACACTCAGCAATTTGGATTACATTCCGTAAGATAAATATGAAGTAAAACCTTCTGAAAACTAGTATAGCGAATGACTATCAGCGAATTCCATTATTAAAACTGGCTCGCACTGAGTGCATATTTTGTATTCCATTGGTGAAACTGATGTCAGTTTCGAATTCCATTGAAAAACTGGTTCACATAGTTTGGAGCTCAGTGCAACAATTCTCGCACGAGCTCTGATAGGTCGTGCAAAGTCAGTGCAGTTTGAGAAGGGCGAAAACATTGAATATGACTTGTTTGAAAACCAAATTGCTAGTGGCAATCTGGTCATAATCATCGAATAGTGATGAAAAGTTGAAGGTTTCAAGAAAATAGAGGAGATCACTTTCCAGAATTCATAATTTTGTTGAGTGTTCAAAATTATTTCCATAAAATATATCTACTTTGTTTTCAATTGTAATTGAAAAAGAATCTCAGGATACCGACAAGTTATTAACAAAGACAAATCAATTTATCCCATTTAATGCACCAGTTCACATTTTGGAGAGCAGTAACGTAGTCCAAGTGCAAAACTGGTGCAAAACCAGTACACCATCAGGTTTACGAATGGAATTTGCTATAAAAATGAATAATGCATAAGCTGATGTGTTGCCGTAGGCCATCATAGGCATCAGGGGGCCATCATATGCATCAGGGGGCAATCATAGGCATCAGGGGGCAATCATAGGCATCAGGGGGCCATCATAGGCATCAGGGGGCCATCATAGGGACATTTTCCTGCAGAAAAAATCTGAGGTGTCATTCTGCCTTAGGACGCAGTCAAATTTCCAGGTTTATTTGAAACCAGCGTCAGCTTGAACAGTTTCAACGCCCTGGGCGAAATACTGAAACGGCGCCCTTTCAAGAAGATTCTTACTTTTTTTTATCGCTTGGAGCGCACGAATAGGAATAGGGATTCGTGCGTTCCTAGGGAGGTAGGTAGGGATAGGAGGTAGGTATTGGAATTTTTTTTGAACTTCTGGAGGTTATATGTTGTTGGGAATACTTCCACAGGCAATGAATTCCAGAGCCTAGCCGTTCTATGGATGAAGGAGTCTTGATAAAGTGCTGTTCGACATCTTTCGAGGTTGACAACGAAAGGATGTGCTGACTGGGCTTGTCCAGTTCGTCTGACTGGTATTGCTAGTGAAGGTATGATAGCAGAGATTTCCGAAGAACATTTCCCGTGGAAGTATCGATAGAAAAGTGAAAGGTCGCCGACCTTTCTACGGTGTTTCAATGATGTCAAAGAGTGAGTGAGTGTGGCGTCACCCACCAGGCGGATGGCTCTTCTCTAGATGGAATCTAAGAGCATCAGCGTATGTTTTGTTGCTGAACCCCAAATGTGGGAAAAGTATTCTAGAACAGGCCGTATCTGCGCTTTGTAGATCGTGAGAAGCTGTTGAGGTATAAAGTAGCTTTTCGCACGGAACAAGAATCCGAGTTTTTGTGAAGCAGCTTTTGCGATGAATCTGACATGATTATTCCATGAAAGAGTGTTGCTGATGGAAATACCGAGCATAAATATGGTGGGCTTGGTGGAGATGGTGGTGCCAGACATTACAATGTCGGGCATACTTCGTTCCGCCTTTCTAGAGAAAATACAAGCTTGAGTTTTAGTGGCGTTGAATTCAACTAGGTTGTTGGTTTCCCAGGCTGTGATTTCAGCAAGGTCTTCATTGACAGCATTGACCTGCCTGCGCCGTGAGTTCTTAGTTTCCTGGGAAGAAATGGGAATTCTGGAAGAGAACGCAGTATGGAGGGTACTATCATCTGCAAAGCTGTGGATGGGGCAAGTTGTTACTCCCAACAGATCATAGATATGAAGAAGGAATAATGTTGGTGCCAAAATTGATCCTTGTGGAACGCCGGAATTGATGCCAATGGTATCAAACGATACACCGTTCACCACCACATGAAGCGATCTGCCTGAAAGAAAACTCGATAAGAGATAGCATAGCTGAGGTGGTAAGCCGTATGATGGTAGTTTGTGGAGGAGTCCTTCGTGCCAAACACGGTCAAATGCTCTCGATATGTCCAACGCGACAGCTAGAGATTCCCCGTGTTTGTTTAATGAAGCTTGCCATAAATGGGTGACGTAGGCAAGTAGATCTCCAGTAGATCTTCGGTGGCGAAAGAAACAATTATGTAAACAAGTATGTCATTTTCAATAATAAAAAATCAAGCTTTTCATTTCAGCAGATTCCTTTTATGTTCTCTCCTCGTTTCTATAAATGAAGATATATGAGTATCATTTCAATGATCTTTTGATTTGCCGCAAAATGTCCCCACGTTTGAAAAAATTTCTTGAGTGAGCCTATGGGAAAAATCCAATCGATTTTCAGGAATAACAAGTTGAAAAAAGGAATATATATGTACTGAAAGCATATCAAATGTTTACCCAAATTATAACAACTGAAATGTGAGCCTTGAAATGATGAATGGTATTTTTCTTGATATCACTGAAAAAAAAAGGACCCTTTCCATCAGAATTCTCTTGCTTCGAGATTGTCAGAATATCTCACTATAAAGAAATAAGTGTTTTTCTCAGGAATATAATCTTCATGTACCTAATACAATTCCCTTGTCTCAAGTACTTGGCTTGAGTTTCAGGTATTTTGAAAGTATTTTTCATATGTGTAGGGGCCTATTAGCGCTTAATTTCAACAACTATTTCATTGTTGTCCAGAGTGTGCCAAAATGACGAAACGTATAAAAGTTGTTATTTTTTTAATGGAATACCCTGTATATTATTGCAGTTCCAGCTTTTCCTTGAGAAGCTGATTTCATCAGTAGGTACACCACACTTGATTGGTCTACCGGAAATAATTATGTAGATATAGATTTCGAAATGCAGCTTTTTTAACTTTAGGTTTTTTTGTGTCGAAACTATTCATTATTGGTCAAAAGGGATCACATGATCTCAACTGAACTTTTGATTAACTATCTACTGATATTCAATTGAAACAAATACAGAGTGGTTCGAAATTCAGAATCATGATCATCTTGTATCAGTTCCAATTAAAAGTTAGTAGACAGTAAATCGAAAGTAGAGATATGGATATGTGAGTCGTTTTTACCAATAACGAACTCTTCATTGTACCAGTATATAACCTGATGAAGCTACTGTGATTGCGAAACATGTCATGTGTTTGAGAATTTTGTGGAAATCCTATCTTTTGTGAAGTTTTTACTAGAAATTATGTATTTCACATGGCAGCAAATGTAGATTGACTGCTTAGTGAAACAAATATAATTTTCTCAATTTTGATGCCGCCTATTGCCGTCTCTGATAGGCTATAGGCCATAGGCCATAGAACATCGTCAATAGTTCGCCCTTATGAACTGTTGGAACAACGAATGTTCTTTGTATTTTTTTTTCATTTTGCGTCTTTGAAGGAGTCATTATGACACCCAAATGCGTATCGAAACAGCTTCTATTAGGACACGCTGAGTTTCTTGTTTCAAAGTTGGTAAAGGTAACGTCAACGTCAAACTGTCAGACACACTAGCGTCTAGAGACAAGATGCAACGAATAACAATAAACATTACAAGTATCTTGAGCATTTATTACCTAACTAATTTGCTGGTAAGTTCCGTTGGGTTGCTGTTGAGACAAAATTATGCTAATTATTCTGATTATTCAAGTTATTGTTTGTGCAATGGAACTGTGAGGTAGAGGCGTCAGAATGTGTTGTAGAAGTTAGAGGCTATACCTATCTCAAATTTTCCATAATGCCTTGAAGAATATCAACTCAGTTCAATGCTTCAAGAAAATGTTATGTAAGTTACTTTTAGAAATTAGCCCATACACAATAGCTGAATTTTATGAATATTTTAAATGAATTCAGAAGTGTGTTAGCTTTTCCTTTTTTTTTAAATAGTCTTGTGTAGTAAAGTTCACATGTGATGAATTTGTGTACCTGGTGTTAATTGTATTATTTGTTATATTTAATTTTAATTAGTTTTAGCCTTTGACCTGTCCAATAGCTATGTTATTGAGCTCATTTAATGGATTAAATTTTCTATCTATCTATCTATCTATCTATCTGAATTCGATTCACTCACATTTGATAGAAGAATAATTCACAATTTCAGGTATTCAAATCGTTCATTTCATTGATTCTGACTATTTTATCATCTCTTCAGCTTCTTATCCAGACGAATTGATCGAAAATCAGATTCAATATAAAAATACAAAAAATTCATTCTACCTACCTCGGCTGCTACTATCGTTGAATATGGTAATTTTATATTCATTTTTTTGTAACCCTCATCTCGTCTCTACGGTTAACACCTCAACTATAACTCAGAAACTTCCTTCCAGGTCTCCTGCAACATCCCATTCTGGACATCCACAATCATGGCCAAGCTGATTCCTATCCACCAGATCCTGGATTACATCAGTATCATCATTCGAAATTGTCCTCGAGTGCTTCGAACGAATCCTACGTGCAATATCATCTACAACACATGAATTCGCAACCTCTGTTCTATTCGAATTGGTTGGGATCGTCTTCGGATCCGAAGAGTTCTAGTCAGATATTCGGACTTCAAGGTGAGTTTTGCCATTATTCAATTAATCAGAATATACTTTATACAGGACAATTTATGAGGAGTGCCACGCATTGCCAAATAGAAGATATAGGAAATCAAGATCAGCTGACGTACAGTTGTATTGACTTACCTGGTATTTCTGATCATTTTACTACTTCTTGTGAAATATCTAAAATAGAGTCCACATATGAACGACAGTTTTCCTGAACTCGTAAAACCTCGAACATTTGAACTACGACCTTTTACGATCTGAAAACAGTGCTTGTCAGTGGGGACCCATTAATAACACTGACAATGTCAATGATCAAGTTGAATTTATGAACTCAAATCTACCCGACATCTTTGACGAACATACTTCGATCAGGAAAGTTAAGGTCACCAAACCATTCAGTCCATGGTACACTGATAATATCAAACTCATGATACGCACTCTTAACGAAGCTTTTATGAAATACAAAAAGAAGAAGACAGATCATAGAATTATTATAAACAACTGCAAGATTCCGTCACTGGTGCAATTAGGAGAGAAAAGCTAGCTTATATGCAATATATACTACACAAAAAAGACACTAAAGTTGTATGGAATACTCTGATAGCCCTTGATATTGTTCAAAATAATCGAATATCTGATATTCCTAGCCGTTTGAAAAACGTAACACTGATCAATGATCATTTCAATGATGTTCCATCAGCCAACTCAACTCCTGATCACATCTACTTGACATATATGACGTTCCTGCCATAGATAACCGAGCATTTAATCCCAAAACTACACTCAGTTCCAAAAAAAGTGACGCACTTGATATTCGACCTATCTTCTTGAAAAAAAACCAAAAATAGTAGGCCGATTTCAATTTTTTTTTTTTCATTTGTTGGTAGGTTATGCATTTGTCTAAAAAAAAATAAAGAGGTGACAATTTTGTCGAAGCTTCCTTGACTCACCCTGTGTGTTCATTGAGTGATGGCATAGTAAGTGCTCACACCCAATACGAAAGGGGCTTCTCTTGCGAGCATTTTGTTTTTGAATTCATTGATTTATCTTGGAAATTTTCCGAATTACAGCTTCTTTTGCTGAATCCTTGCAGATTACCAACTTTCTGAATTAATCGAGAGACAATTTTTTAATGAAATAAACTGATACCAATAATTTCCAAAAACATTTTTATTAAACACGAAATTATGAATTGGGATGACTGCTCAATACCGTGTATTGCCTCCTCTAGCAACTCTAAGAACTTCTAATCTACGAGACATACTGGAAATTAAGTTGCTTATCGTTTCCATTGGCATACGAGCCCATTTTTCCACTAATGCATCTGCCATTTCTGCGAGACATTCCAGAGACTTCTCGCGAGAACGTACCCTTTTCCCTAATTCATCCCACAAATATTCTATAGAATTCATATCGGGGCTTCTCGCAGTCCATTGTAATGTGGTAATACCAGTAGCTTCTAAGATGTTTCGCACTATCGCTGCGGTGTGTGGTCGGGCATTATCCTGCATCAATATAAAATTATTGCCCACTAACTCTGCATAGGGTAAGACATACTGCTCTAGAATGTCAATGTAACTTTGGTCATTCATCGACTGCCTCAGGGAAAAACATGAAGGGGTGTCTTTCCATTCATTGAAATCCCTCCCCACACCATAACGGACCCACTATTAAAACTTTCTCATTCTGTTATTGAATTTTGATTAAACGACCGTTCACCAGTTTAGGCAAAATTTTGACTCATCTGTAAACAACATTCGACCATTCAGGAATATTTCACTGTCCATAATTTTCAACAAAATTTCTTCTAGCAGCACGATGTTCTGGCAATAATTAGGGACCTTCTGCAGGTCTCCTAGCTTTCAAGTTAACTTCTTTTAGACGTCTACATACCGTCTGCTTACTTACTGCAACATCACGAATTTGGCGAAGATCTTTCTGAAGTATTTGATCGATTCCGTAATCCGCGATCTCAAGAAGCGATCATCTCTTGGAGGAGTTTTTCGGGGGCGACCAGAACTGACCCTCCGAGCGGTGCTTCCTGTTTGTTCGTACTTGCGGATTGCTCTACGAGCAGTTGCTTCATGAACTCCCACTGCACGTGCGGCGTAGGGTTTACTACGCCGATCGTTTACTAACGCAACTAATCTTGCTACTTGTTCATGATTTATTTGAGGAATTTCATGTAGTTTTTGTTAATGAAACAAGACACTTGATTAATGACATAACGACAAATGGTCAAATATGGATGCATACAACAAATTAGTTGCTATGGCAACGGCATTTGTTTTTATTTCAAACAATATGATCCTACCAGAGTACAACCCAATCAATTCTGAGTACTCGGATCCTTCAATGAAGTTAATTTGTGGGATATGCGTAAGGTATCAGCAAAAAAGCTGTTATTCGAAAAATTTTGGAGACATATCAATGAATAAAAAAACAAAATTCTTGCAAAAAAGCTTCTTTCGTATAGGGTGTAAGCACTTTGTATTCCATACTCAATTAACACACAGAGGGTGAATCGAAAATTGAGAATAAATCATGGTTCGAGTTATTCCACCGACACCAAGGAGGCTTTGAAAAAATGTTCACCTCTTCATTTTTTTTTTAGAGACAAATGCATTACTAACCAACAAATGAAAAAAATAAAAATTCGGCCTACTGTTTTTTTTTTAAGAAGATAGGTCAAGTATCAAGTGCGTCACTTTTTTTGGAACTGAGTGTATTCTTTCTGAAGAAGTTGAATATGTCTTCAAAATATTCGAGAGAAATTCTATGGGTTCAGATTAAATCTCTCCTAAAATGCTGTACATTGTCTTCGATGTCTTACTTGATCATTTCACCCACATTTTCAACACTGCTCTGACGACTAATACATTTCCTGACGCTTGGAAACTTGCTTATTTGATACCTCTGGCCAAAATCTCATCACCTACTGAATTGATACGGCCTACAAGCATGCTCCCAACTCTCTCCCTCAAACATTTTTTCAAACAAATTTCCACTGACAAGCTACTGGATTTTTCTTTCAGACTCCCTGATAAAAAAATTTGTTAAACGCAGTGACATTTTGGGGTAAATCATCTGATTTATCCCATTACAAATATATTGAAATAGGTAATACGAATATTTTTATTTTATAGAAACGAGGAGAGAAAATCCCAAAGAATCAAGTAGAAGGAATCAAAGAAGTTCTTGAACCCGTATAAAACATATTTGCAAAGAGATGATACTCTTTGGTTAGGACAGTCTACCTTCTCACTATCTATCTCACTATCTATCTCACTATCTTTAGCTTAGTACTTCAATTGCCTTTACAAGAATATTCGCTCAACTGTTCTGTTCTGGAAAAATGTATAGGTGTATTTTATTTCCTTCATTTCAATTGGTTCTCTAGCATCGAAATCAAACTCCTGTTACAAGAATATTGTGGAAAAATTATAAATATATCTACGAAAAAGTTTTACCAATATTTAATGTAGTCTCACCCTGTATACACTCCTGAATGAAATTTTCAAATGATTTGTTTTTCAGTTCATCATTTATAAAAAGTTTTCTTTCAATTTTTGGTCGTAGAAGCCGCTAGTGAAGTTTGGCAGGCTAATTCTGGGACACCCTGTTTATCGTACCATGCACTCCAACTATTTTATTTAAGAGTGTGTTCTACTATTCCTCTGCTCATAATAAGCATCGCAGTCGAACAAACAGTTTACTTAAAGTACACAATATGTCTCCATTCTAAGAAACCAATGTATAAGAACTACCAACAGTTCTTCACTACATTCCAAACAAACCATTAACTGCCTCAACAAACATCAGTCCGGGATTTCTTCGGAGATGTTTTCGGAAACTGCAGGTGGATGGCATGAGGCTTAGGACAGGACATGCCGAGTTTCTGGAAAATCAGATATTTACAGTATGATTCATACAAGTGATTCAAGACAATAGGCTACTGGACTGATAGTGAATAATTAGCATTCAAATACTCGTCGTTAGTAGGGACCTTAATCAATTTTTGGAACACTTCGCACGCGTTTTTTATGTGAATAATGTGTGTATGCATTGTTCTCAATTTCATTTGAAACGTACTGTCATGGGCGTCATTTGACCGTGGTGATGTCAGTTGTTATGGTGTTTCTTTGGCTATATTCCGAATTCAACTGGTCAGTACTGATAGTAGATCCACTGATGCTGCTGAACATATATGTTCCGAAATATAAAATCAAAAATACAGTCATGTAAATCGGAACACGTTTTCATGGTTTTCATCAGTAGTCAGCAGTAGAGTCCCTGTATGTATAATTCCCTGTATATATTTGTCAGTTTTGTTGTAATAAGAGTACGGACACTATGACAAGCAGTGACTGAAGGCATAACCCCAAATTCTCAAAATGACTTTTGAACAAAGATATGGATATGCTTTTCCATGCACTTCGGATCTTCTATCCTCTACTGCCGCGGTGAAGGGTACATCCATATATCTTTCTCTGTCTTTATTTTCATAAAGAAGTGGCGTCTCATCTCACTGGCGAAAAGGGGTCATAGTTTGTAAATCAATTTGTTGAAAGTATTTCTTGATATACTTAACAAAGGGTATATGTACTTCAATTTATTTGATTTTAGGATGCACTAGTTTTTCAATAGATAGAGAATCAGGATTTAGTAGCCAGTTCTGATGGGCAGAATGTAGATGAATGGGAAGAACAATTCAACCAATTAACAAACTTATATTTGTTCTCATAACATACTAAGACACTTCATAGGGCATGAACGATCAGAAAATTCCACAAATACAAGTATAATGATTATAATTCAAGAATAGTATATCCTATGACAAGAATGCAAAATTTCAAATAATGGTAGAGTGAAGTGGGGTGATATGGCAACATAAAATTTAAATGCTCACAATCTAATAACCATCGCGCCTAGCTGAAAGACGATGGCTGCACGTTAGAGCTTACACAATATATTTTTGTGTCCAGAGTCGCTCGTTGCCATTTCTCCAC